AATCAACAGTTTTGCATGCACACTTTACAGACAGGCCAACAACTGAGTGCCCAAGATGAGCAAGCTAAACTCCCACCGCTAGAGACAGTCTCTCTACATCAAAAGTGATTTGTATCCAAGAAGCAGAACAGAGGAACCACCACTGTGAAACCCCAACAAGGTGCACAGCAGGGAGCAGCAGCCACCTGTCTCCTTTGCCAGCACAAATGCTCCATTGTATATGGGGAAAGCCTCCCTCAGAAAATCTTTGTGCTATGATACAGTGTTCCTCTTACCGATGAGTCCCCCTTGGACATGGTAGCAGGTCTTATGCATCTTCCCCATGAATAACTCCAGTCCAATGATGGCATAGATAATAATGACAAACAGCACCAGCAGGGCAATATGCAACAAAGGGACCATGGCCTTGATAATTGAATTTAAAACCACTTGGAGACCTGCAGGAAGAACAGGAGGAAGCACTTATCAGCAAGAGAACAAAATGTACAGAGGCTATACATTGCACAATAATATGTCATTTTTATTTCATCCACCCTCACCTGAACTCATTATCTTGATGATGTAAAGATGTACATGTACAGATCACCTCCCTCCAGAAGATCCCCAACATTTCACAGATTTACCGTCGCAGCCTGGATCACAGACTAAAGCAAAACAGGTATTACCCTACCTGTCACTGGAATTACCACCACCCTGGGGAGGGAATATGTTAGCTCTTTTGCCTGTTCTTGAAATCCAGACCTAAGATGTTCCCCAGGCAGTACTCAGGAGAGCTAAAGCATGGGAAAATCAAAGAACAGCCAGAACTGAAGCAGGACGAGAACAGTGAGACATACAAGAGGGCAAATACTGGAGTATCACAGAGCTGCACCCCAGAGCATGGGGAGAGACAGCAAACTGAAGTCATGTCCCTGCTCTTATTCTGGGTTTTTCCAGAGGTCAAGCCAGTCTCAGGCAGAGCCTGAGCTGCTTAAGGACCACCAAACCCATACAGACTGAGAGCTCCCAGCTCTCTCAGGGTCTCCATGCACTCCAGATCTATGTCACCTTACTTCCGTCTGAACAGAAGGAGAATCAGAACCAGCAGTGCTGGCTTTGCCCCAAGATTTAGAGGAGGTCACTCTATAACAGAGGTTGTCTAGGTTTCTAGAAAGCATACGAACAATATATTATTATTGGCTGTTGTTAAGGCATGAGACTGTTTAAGTTTTAATCAAAAGCAAGCCAAACATTTCCAGAATGGCCTGGAGAAGGTCACCTGTAGCTGAGCTTGCTAAAGCACCAAGCAGCTGTACCCTCAGATGCAGTTGACTCAAGCTGCAGATTTATGGGCCTCTCTCTGTCTCCTTCTCCTTATTTGTGAAACCAGGATAACAAAGCCAGCCTTGTAAGCCTTTAGTAAGGATTTGCATTTACAAAGATCTTAAAGTTGTTATCACTAGTGGCAGTGATGGGAACCACTGTCACTGGCAAGTTAGTAACGTTGGAAGTGTTGAGACACCTCCAGAACTCTATAGTCTACAAATAGCCAGATCAGAACAATTACAAGCTCATGATTTTGCAATGTCTGAGAGCCAGAATCTGTTAATGTCTCCTGCAAATGCTGTCATGTCCTCAGAGAAGTTGATATCAGCTGTGATTTTTGAAAAATTTTATTCATGAGTTGTAAATGTCTGTTATATATCGGCCAAGAGAGTTTGTGATAACTATTAACTTTTAAAATCTACCATCTAAGATCTTAGATTTTTATCACTTTTTTTAACCAATTTAAATACTTTTTGATAAGGATGACACAACTCTTGATAAGCACTTTCACTCACAGGCAATCCACTTGTCAATTCACAGCTAAGGCTGAGACATTGTGTTTGCTCCCCAGTCATGAAGGATGCAGCAGAAGCAATCAAAGGCGACACTAGCTGCAAGGCCAGCAAGATCATTCACTGCCTGCTAGTAATCCAAAGCTGGCTACCAGCATCCCTCTAGTCAGAAAGTTTTTTCAGGTGGCTGCAGTCAGTTTGGTTATCTGTTAACGGTTCATGCTACTACCCAAAGGGAGCAATATTCTGCATGAAACATTCTGTCTTTCACAAAAAGATCCTTATATGAAGTACAACACTGACAGGATCAAAACTTATTCTATACAAGAGTGAGCTGTTCTGCTCACTCGGTTACCTCTAGGCACTTACTCTGGATAAGCAATGTCTCTGTGAAAAAAAAATGTTGCTGTGATTACAAGAGACAGTCAACCTTTTCCCCTAGATGCTCATCTCATTCAGTCTACTAATCCTACATATACAAGTAAATGAATTGTAGTCCAACATCAAAATTACTCCAATACTTTACAGCAGTCAGGAACGTGACTTCACCAGAAAATTAAAACAATGTCCACCTTATCCCAAACAATATACAACAATATAACAAAGTCAAAAGCCTACAGATGGCAATGAACCTGAAAAAAACCCACAAACTTTGCAGATTTAAATATTTGTAGCTCCAAATAGATCTACACAAAAGTAAAGGCCTCCATTTTTAGTGATTTTAGGAGCTTTGTTAATCCAAGCTGTAGCCAAGATTGCAAGGTTAAGAGTTCTAATATGAGGTCTTATGACATTTACTCTTAATTATTATTATTAATTGATTTAATATTCATCATAGGATATACCCAGTGTACTTGAGAGGGCATGGAGGACAGACACAAGTACGAATAAAAAGCTCTCATTTAAATCCAGCTTCATTATCACTCATGCCATGAAAGTGCTTCAGTGTACTACAGATGTCCAGAGAAGATAACACCTGAACAAACCAATGCCCTTTGTGTTCACAAAGCAGTGCTTCCGAAACCAAAGGTTTGCACCATAAACATGAGATGACAAGGTTTTTAGACAGTCAAGGGGAACATGTACCACCAGATTTACAGGACCTTCAGCTAGCTTAATTAGAGAAAAGCTTCTTGAGGATAATAAACCAACTTTGAAGAAGAGATGAGCTACTGAATACTATTAGCATGAATTAATGTGTGTGTGCTGTGCAGTACCCTGTTAGGGCAGTCTGTTTTTAAATCCAGATGATTTCACTAATTAGCAAGCTTACATACATTATCATTACAGTATTGAGAGAGTATTCTAAAAATTTAAAATTGCTAACTATGCAACAACTTTAGAAATGTCCTCTCAGAAGTTGTGATGAATGCTGCTTGTAAGAAGGGCAAGGGATATGTGCACATCACCATGCTCCCCACATTGTTGTCAAGCTTACTGCTGCAATATAGATGCTGCCAGTAAAGTTAGTTTATTCTCAGTTCAGGCAGCCACTTGTAACATGAATATCTCATATGGCATAAGGAACCAGGCCTGGACAATCAGAAAAGTCGGTGTAGTAGCAAGGAGGGACAACAGAGAGAGCAGATAAGGATTAAAGGACTGGGGGAGAGCCATGGGTAGGTGGAACAAACAGACACTTTTTAAATAAAAAAAGCACAGGGTTCAAAACACATCAAATCTGTGTTCTGAAATCTGTGAGGTGCAGATCAGTGTCTGTGGATGATGAGATCCGTTTCTGATCAGTGTAAACCAAGGCGAATCATCCCCTTACATGCAGGCACAAAGCTTTTTCTAACTGATGGTGACAACTACACACTTTTACATATTCTTTCCCTGTGCAGAGGAAGAAAAGGCAGTCGAACTTATACAAAAATTACTTCAATGCCCCAACTCACACATACTCTTAATCTTTGCACACTGTGACACATAGATATCGCCCAACACAGGTGCTCACAGTACAGAGGCAACACGGTCCCACTTGTCTGATGCTCTCCGTAATACACCCTTGCACATCTTTGACATTTTCTCCCTTGAGGAGGTAAGGTTTGCACTCCTAGCAATGAGCTGTGCAGCTTATAATCATAATCAAATCAGAATGCCTGGTGACCTGATCAGATTGCAAAGCTGGCCTCTGGATTTCAAGCAGGTGATGCCAATAACTGCCTTCCCACAGCAGAGTGAAGAGCTGTGTTTTCACACCGCTTTACAGAAGCTGGCAATGCCATTGTTGGCCAACCGTAAATGCAGAGTCCTGAACTTATGTCCTGGCAAGTAAATATAAAAATAAATTATTTTCAAATGTTTGGCGTTCTAAATGTACTTATTAATTTGTTGAAGCTCTCTCCATGTGCTAAACACTCTCCAGACATCTGTGAAGGCACAGCATCTGCCTTGAGGAGCTCACTCTAGGCTGGGCAAAGAAATAACTGCACAGAGGTTAGGGAAAGTGCCACAAAAGGGACTGTTTGCAATTTTTCAGCCTGCGCTTTTCTTCTGTTAATAATTGAAGATATTAAACAGTTCTTAGTATTTATTTTAAGAGCACTTCAGTTTACCTTTAAAAAAAACCTCTTGGCTGCATTCTGTTGGCTGACACTGACTCCATAAATGTTTCAGTAAGCAAAACATGTTAATGCCATTCCCTGGGCTCACAGAATTTAGCATTTATTTACACTGGTAAAATGTTTAAAATATTTATTACATGGGAACAACATCGCTTTTTATACCAGGTCAAGCCCTTTTCAGCCTCTAGAGGACTGCATCGACCCAAAGGTTTAGGGCACAGCTGGGGAGTAGAGGGAATAGGGAAGAGAGAAGGAAAAGAGCTTATACCAAGCCACATTGATCTTTCTCAGAGCTATGGGAAATACACTATTAGGGATGCTGCAGGTGTTTTAGAGCTATTATGTGATGCTGTATTTTTCTTTTAGGAAGACAATCATGTGAGGGGCTGGTTGCTGTCTCATCAATTCAGGCAGTTATTGAAGAACGTGCTTATCTCTAAGCATGTAAGTGTCTGCACCTAAAGCAATGGGATTACCGACATACCCCATTGTGTACTTACAAGCTTTTTTGGATTTTAACCAATGCTCAGCAAGATGGTACAAAAAAAAAAGAAGTGCACCAGACCCAGCTGCTAAAATGCACTTGGCATTGTTGCACTGTGGAACATATCCAAGGGAACTAATGGTAGGTTGGTCTCAAAAAAAAAATTTGGCCCTTTCCAAGCACAGCTCTATCGCACATTCTCACACGTCTTCAATTTTGGATCAAACTTGGTTTGCTGGACAGGGTTGTTTCCTGCTTTCATCATATTAGTAGTCCAGATCTTCAGAGAAAGCGTATCCTGAGTCTACTCCTTCATTGGTTTTGCAGGGCTATATTTTGCCTACACCGTGGTGTTGCCAGAACCAGGCGTATGAGCAGGCACATTCTCATACAAATGACCTTCTGGGAATGAACAGGAATAAAAGGAGAGGACTTTCAACTCCATCCGTCCCTCCTCCACCTCCTGGTACACACACGAACACACAGAGATTTTCATACTTAAGCCAGTGCCAAGGGTGTGGGAGGTAATTATTTTTCTGCTAATATAGTTCAGAAGAAAACCGCTACTT